CCGGGGTCATGTGACGCTAGTAACACATCATATTCTCGAAGGTTCGTGAAGCCTCTAGTGTTTAGTATATGTACAGCATTCTTGTATATAAGACTGCCAAGAAGTGACAGCAACAATGTAGTCGAATCGCAGACAGAGATACAGACGACAATTGAGCCTGGTGCGTGAATCGTTCGTTCATTATGAAATATAGGGTTTGTTTAAGTTATAGCGTGACTGTGGAAATTAAGTGTATTGCAAAGTTGTATTCAGAAAGAATAAACTAGTTTTATTTAAGAAAGGACTTATATCGCTAATGTTTCTTTGGAAAGAATTTTTACAAAAAATTAACTAACGACCAGAGACATAACAATACTATTGTCTGGAACTTATCATCTATCTATTCATCCTTCACTGTTTTGGTAGTGCAATGATTGCATTTGAAGCTTTGGTCGTATGGTTCCCAAATAAGTGAAGTGTTCTGACAGTAACTTAATACCAGATGACATAAATCTTATGATATAAATAACTACATTTCAAATTGATCATTGAACAAGGTAAATGTGATATTCTCTCTTCTTCGAATATCCATAAATATTCTATTTATGGCTCATTCAATAGATTTCTTTAAAATGAATGTAAGAATAAAAACAAAATTTACAGCAGACATTTTTGTTAAAGCTTTTTCATGACACAATTTTCTTACATTTTTGTACCATTTAATGTTTGTTCCTAAGAAGCAATTGCCAAACATACTGTGAGGATACTATGCTTAAGAACTTCTTGCGAGAAAGAAACCACTTTTTAAAGCAAATTTTACAACACCATAAATGATGACCCTTGGAATTGTTTGTGGTAAAAGAAATCTGGATATTTTAAAGAAATAAGTTGTTACCATCACTGGTATCCTAAGGTTTATACACAATGTTACCATCACTGGTATCATAAGGAAGTGTACACAATGTTATCATCACTGGTATCATAAGGAAATGTACACAATATTACTATCACTGGTATCTTTAGGAAGTGTACACAATATTACCATCACTGTTATCATAAAGACGTTTATACAATGTTACCATCACTGGTATTCTAAGGAAGTGTAAATGTTACCATCACTGGTATTCTAAGGAAGTGTAAATGTTACCATCACTGGTATTCTAAGGAAGTGTAAATGTTACCATCACTGGTATCCATGGGAATTTTTTTCTAAGCATGTCATAAGGTTTTATTGAGTTACATTCAAAATTTAGTTAAGCCACTTTCTGTTCATGGTGTATCAATAAATGTTGCATAAAAATGTAGCTAATAATCCAATTTTTAAACGAATACAAGTTTTAAGTTCTTAAATTTATAAAGCAATGTTTAAAAAAATCCTGAATTTCCCCTAGTAGGACATTTTCTCTTTAGGTGTCTCCTCTTCTCTAATATTTTACCACCTCTCCAAGAAGTACAAAATTTAAGGTAAATTACTCATTATAATGTTGTCATTGCCAAGGCAAAGAATAATTCTTATAGCCTTCAACATTATTTGGTTTTAGAGCCATCAAGTAAAAAATCAGACCCCTCATATCACCTGTCACATTCTCTTTTTTTACAAATTGCCAATAGTTCTCTCTCTTGCATTCAATACTAAATTATTTACAGCCAATAGAAAGTCAAGGTTTTACTCAATCAAATGATGTATCATAATACATTGTTTTCTGTACAGAGAATTGTCAATTTCACTTTAAGTTCAAGATTTATTCCCACAGGAAATACATCAACGAGCTTAGATGAATTTTTAATGGCTATTGTTGCATAGTTATGTGAAATTGTCTGCTTTTGTGCATGTTATTATTCTGTGTTCTTGAGTGTATTACTTAAATAAATAACAATTATTTAGTGCAGTAAACTACCATTAATATAAAAAAGCTGAGTTAAATGTCATTGACAGATGACGGAAAGAAAAAAGAATAATCAGGTAAGTACTATATTTCTTGTTTTTCATGTGCAATCTTTATATATTATAATAAAAGTAACAAAAATGTAAAAATAGGAAAATGTTTATGTTAGTTAATATTAGTAAAATAAATAATAATAATATAATAAAAAATTTCCATGAGGTAGGCTTGCAAGTGGCTAGTGAGTAACTTGTGTGAAATGTAATTCAATTGTGTAATGTGAGCTGCATGTCTGCTAAGTGATTTACAATTTATAATGGCACGAATAGTAGTTAGACAGGGTTCAAAGGGCAATAAAACAATACAATTTAATTATAAACAGATTTACTGTTAGGAATTTAAAGCTATTTAGGATAAACAAATGTAGTTACATGTTACAATCTGAAGTCATTCTAGAAAGAAAAAAGCATAATTTAGATTTATTTCGATTTTTTTTTGGTGGTTACAAGGTTAGTAAATTTGACTAACCTTATATAGAGTTAGGGAGGAGAAAATAACAGATAAGATATAAAGTTTTACTGAAAAAAAGCTTGAAATATATTTTGGATGTTTTAGAGATTACTCAAATTAAATTTGAGATTTTTCAGATGAAGAAAAGTATTTTTAATCTTAACATGGAAATTGCTTTGCATTGGACTAATAAAAAAAGAATATGTATATTTACGGATGAATCTTTAGCAAAAATACCTTATTAAATGATCTGATTTTTTTGTGTACGAAAAACTTGTAATGTTTAATAATAGTCTGCCAAACTTTGTGAAGATACATATACTCTATTAATAGTTATAGTATGGAAACTATAACGAGCATAAAATTGTTACTAGATCAGTTAAATTAACGAACCTCATAGCAAGAGAGTTAATCATCACTGGTATCCTACAGAATTGTCAACTGAATTTGTTTGGCTCATGGTTATTTGGAACAATTTAATGATGTTACTATGCATTTATCACCAACTGCTGCATGATAAGATCTTTGATGCTAGTCCTATCTGATTCTTAAACCAGTGAGTATGGACTTATGAAAGACAATTTAAATCAAACTAAAACATCACTCGTGGATGTCAGTAATTATTTGGTAAAAAGTTAAAGAACAAAACACAAATCAAGCTACCATCATTAAAGTTTGAAACTTGTAACCAGCTGGGCTTCTCAGTGGAAACATTTTCAGTCTTTTCACATATTGGTTTACTAAAAAAAGATGAAAGGTAAAGTAATTTATAGCAATTCTTTCACTAATTACAATGATGTCAAGTTTGATGTCACACATACATTTAATAGAATGTCCTTAAAACTAATATAGGTTGTTTTAGGATACCTAAAAACAGTAGAACATTAATCACTACACAAAAAATAAGAATGTGTATAGAAAGAATTAAATGTGTACACTTTTTTAAAGAAGTGGCACCTGATAAATGTGTATATCACTACACAAAAAATAGTGCAGAAGAATGTGCATAGAAAGAACTAAATGTGTACATTTTTTAAAAGAAGTAATACATGGCACCTGATAAATGTGTATAGTCATTTACAGAATTATGACAACAAAAATAGAAACAGCTGAAATTTATAACAGTAAAAAAACTAGAGTCTTCGAGAGACAGTCAAGTCTTCAGACCTATAAAACTGAAATGTTTTTGATAAAACATGGGTCTAGTAATAGATAGGCAAACAATGATTTATAAACATAAGGAAAGCTTTTTTTGATGGTGGAACATAATACATGTTCCAACAGATCATTGGTCTGTCATCTCCAGATATTATCTGTACTGAGCAATACAGGATTTATATATATATCGGTAGAAGACAAAAGACACTGAGATTAAATGTGATGGAAATGGTGTCAGCAGGTGACAAGATATAGGTAGAGGTTAAGTTTAGTCAAGTGTATGAGCGGTGAACAGACCTTGCCAAATACGACTGGTGTTGCTAGGGCCATTATCACGCCTTAGTGAGAGAATGTTTGCTTTGATGATTTCTGTAGTTTCTAAACAGTCTCTTTCTTTTTTTTAGTTTTGGGTTGTTGTAGGAGTAGAATTTCATCCTAAAGCATTTTGTGACCTGTTTCATACTGATGATATGTTAAGGAGGATAACTGGAATTCACTTGCATGCATGTAATCTTAGTGTTCTTTGCTTCTTATTTTTAAGGAACATGATGTTTGTCCTATGTATTTCATTCCACATTCACTTGGGATACTATATATGCCCTGTTTTTGTTCTTTTAATAGGGATTATTTCACGTTAGGTAGTAAGATGTTAATCTTATGTGAAGGTTTGAATGCAGTTTTTACATCAATGCTCAAATTATTAAAAAAGCTAGTAACGTCGTTAGCTATTTCTGTCACAAAAGGGAATGAAACAAATTTGTTACTTTTGTGTTGTTGATAGGTGAAAGGTTAGAGTTAACATAATACTTTTCACTATTCTGAAGTTTGATACAAGCCCTATCTATAACATTGGGGTAAAAACCTCTAGACAGTGTTATGTTCTTTAGGTAGTTCAATACAATAAGTAAATCTTCTTTGTAGGTGCAAAGTTGTATAACACAATTTACGTAGGTGAAGTAGGAAGATATTTTATGATTAGATCTTATGTGTAATGAAAATGGGGTTTCCTGTATATATGATTTCAACGTTATAGATAACAACACACTTTATGAATATTTTTCACCATATAAGGGCTTATTTTTGTACATCATCTTTTGCTGTGTAAAATTCCAGACATCCTCTGAGAAAATCATGGATACAAAACTGTATAATTAAAATTTGATGCTTCTTTTGGATCACTATAAATTAATATTGTTTCTTGATTACCATGAGAAAACATTAAATCCATTGGCATAACTTTCAATGCACCCAGTACACAAGATGTTTTCCTGTTATGTTTACAACACAATTACATTTAATCATAATGCAACTGAACTATCACCTACCAAGTGCAAAACTTCCTTTATGATAACAAATCAAAAGATATACAAAATTAAAAATCCTGATAACTTGAATTTGTTGTTCGTAATTTATATGTAAAATGTTAATATGAAATGTGAAAACATACGTATCCAGCCACTTTGGTTTCCTTTCTGACCTATCACTCATCGGGCTGTAAAACACATTAAATAAGTATTAGGTATACAAAAACTAGTAATCTTTAAAATAAGAATCACATTCCAAATTCAATAGAAGAGTGGACTAGGAAGAAATGTGCAGTTTGATCTACAAAAAACTGAACCTCTACAAGAGAATTGACAGAGATCAAGGACACACAGAGAAAACAAAAATAGGAATTGTAACACTATTAAAACAAGAACTGATGAGGTAACTGTAAAATATATGACAAGCAAAAACCAAGTGACATCATGAAAAACACTTAATAAAACCACTGTAACAAGACTGGATGGTAACATTATTTAGGGTAGAGTAACAGTATAAGAAATGATTGGCTAGTCTAATCCTGAGTATGTGCTATTGGATGAACACAAAATACACGACTTTATTATACCACTGCCTCATTTTATCTTACAAAGGTTTTTTTTGGACATAAACAAGTAATTTTGGATATGTAATTACATTCTTCTAACATCAAGTACTTGTATATAAGAACTCATACCTCCAAACTAAGTGGATTATATAAGATTTGGTTTGTTTTGAATTTTGCATTTGAGGGCTAGCTGTCACTAATTTAGAAGTGACAGACTAGAGGGAAGGTAGCTAGACATCACTGCCAACTCTTGGGCTCCTTTTTTACCAACACATAGTGAGATTGACGGACGTATCAGGCCATGCAAGGTCTAGGTTATATAAAGATTTTACTTGGCAATTGGCAGACCAGCAATTATTAATATGAAAAACATTAAGGTTCTAAATATTATACAAATCAGTAAGTCAATGTTGAAGCTCATCTGTCATGATGGAGTTTGATTGTTGTCTTATCAACTACTATACATGTAAAAGTAATTCATAACCAACTTACCGAATAACATTCTTTACACGTTCTATTGAGCCTTTTCTTTTGAAAACTTGCTCAGGTATGGAACTAGAAATCAAAAAATAAAACAAAATGAATGAAGTACAAATATTCTGCTAAACTATTGGACAAATTTCTTAGTCCTGGTTACATACACAATAGTAAACATGAATACGTCAATACACTCATAATAATTCCAAATAACTATTATGCTGTGGCATTTAGTTGAATATTCCATAGGTTATCAGTTTAACTGATTCAGAAAAAACAACTTATATCACTGAAACGTTACTGTGTCAATTGTAAGAAACCATAAAATAGAACAAACCAATACCTAAAATTTCTGCCACTTGCTCTGTATGTTGACATCTTCAAACCAGGACTTGCACTTGAATATGTATAACTGCTAACATAGGTCTTACTTCTGTGAGAGGAATCTATAATGAAGAGGAAAAACAAGTGCTAAGTAATCATACATATACACTCAGATAAAAGAAACTGTGAAGAACTTTTTAAATTGGTAGGTACTATGCACTGCGATATGCTACTTTAGTCCCTGAGAAGAACTTTTTAAATTGGTAGGTACTATGCACTGCGATATGCTACTTTAGTCCCTGAGAAGAACTTTTTAAATTGGTTGGTACTATGCACTGCGATATGCTACTTAATCCCTGTGAAGAACTTTTTAAATTGGTTGGTACTATGCACTGCAATATGCTAATTTAGTCCCTGTGAATAACTTTCTAAATTGGTAGGTACAATTCACTGCGATATGCTATTTTAGTCCCTGAGAAGAACTTTTAAAATTGGTTGGTACTATTCAATGCGATATGCTACTTTAGTCCCTTAGAAGAACTTTTTAAATTGGTTGGTACTATTCAATGCGATATGCTACTTTAGTCCCTTAGAAGAAATTTTTAAATTGGTTGGTAGTATGTACTGCAATATGCAAATTTAGTCCCTGTGAAGAACTTTTGAAATTGGTTGGTACTATGCACTGCAATATGCTACTTTAGTCCCTGTGAAGAACTTTTGAAATTGGTTGGTAATATGCACTGCAATATGCTAATTTAGTCCCTGTGAAGAACTTTCTAAATTGGTTGGTACTATTCACTGCGATATGCTATTTTAGTCCTTGAGAAGAACTTTTTTAATTGGTTGGTACTATTCACTACAATATGCTACTTTAGTCCCTGTGAAGAACTTTTTAAATTAGTTGGTACTATTCACTGGGATATGCTACTTTAGTCCCTTAGAAGAACTTGTTTAAATTGGTTGGTACTATTTACTGCAATATGCTACTTTAGTCGCTGTGAATAACTTTTTAAATTGGTTGGTACTATGCACTGCGATATGCTACTTTAGCCCCTGAGAAGAACTTTATAAATTGGTTGGTACTATTCACTGGGATATGCTACTTTAGTCCCTTAGAAGAACTTGTTTAAATTGGTTGGTACTATTCACTGCAATATGCTACTTAAGTCCCTGTGAATAACTTTTTTTTTGTCATTTTATTGTAATATTGCAGTTTTTCCTACATATAGTTTCAAAGCCACTAAAAGTTTTTTATGATTTCATGTTAAAATCCTTTATTTTACGACAATATATTCAGTCATCTTTCAGTAGGATTCAAATATTTCTACACCAACTGCTTTCAGTTATGTAATTTTTCATTTTGATATATGTACTTAGTGCTGAGTATTCAAAACTTATATGAGATAAATATTGGGGCATTTTTGACATTCAGTAGTTTCATTTCTCTGAAATAATAATAAGAAAAACATTTTGTACATTGGAGTGTTTACTATCATGGTGTGGGAGAGCCACTAGAAAGTTGTGCCCCCCCCCCCTCCCACAGGAGTTCCTCATTTGAGATATCACGATTAAATCTTTTAAGATTATAAAATTCTCTCTACATTGTGACTTCCACTGACATGAAAGGGTTAAATGTCTCTGGATGGCCAGGGTAGTCATACTATGCAACTTAAAAAAATCAGGGATAAGTTTAATGGTAGCATCAGTCTGCCATGAAGCTGTACAAAGAAGTCTGAGTTAACTTTGGCAACTTAAAGTAATACACACATTTCTTTCTTGTGCATTTAATAACACTCTAACTCCTTCTTCTCCAAATAACTCTTTGCTCACCCAAATAAAAAAATCCTAGAAATACCACTGTTTTTGTATGAGGGAAGGCATAGTTTATCATTTTTTAAAGCTTATAACATAACATACAACAGTGACATAATGGAGAAGCCCAGGATTTATCCTGAAACTTCTAAAAAAACACACTATCCTGCTATGTTAATTAGATGTTACAACATCTATAACAACTCAGAAAGTGCATATCCTAGACAAATAATCTGTGCAGGAAAGAAAGTTAGTATATGTTATAAATTCTGTGGCACAAAGCACACATACAAATAGATATCATGTTGTAGGCTCTATATCACAGTTGAGCAAAAGGGTTAATAGAGCTGGCAGTGGCTTTTGATATAGTTACCTGGCCATTCTGCAATAGTAGAATTTCTGAATACACTATCATCCTCTTCTGACTTTTCTAGTCCTTCTTCACTGTTACCTTCTAACAAAGATTGTTTCATGGATGGGTTACTCACATCAGAGGACAACAGAAGGGTGGCATTTTTCAGTGGCATTTCAGAGCATTTTGACATTTTTGGATGAGGCAAATGGTCAAGATTTAATGGTATCACTTGGCCATAATCAAATACTTGATTTCCACAGGCTTTCTGCAACTCTCCATCAAATACTACCATTTCTTCCACCATGATCTTTGCCAATCGTACACCAAGACAAAGATCCTACGATAACACAGTCAACATCTTTCAATTAATCAAAGATTCTACGATAACACAGTCAACATCTTTCAATTACCCAAAGATCCTATGATAACACAGTCAACATCTTTCAATTAATCAAAGATTCTACGATAACACAGTCAACATCTTTCAATTACCCAAAGATCCTATGATAACACAGTCAACATCTTTCAATTACCCAAAGATCCTATGATAACACAGTCAACATCTTTCAATTAACCAAAGATCCTGTGATAACACAGTCAACATCTTTCAATTAACCAAAGATCCTACGATAACACAGTCAACATTTTTCAATTAACCAAAGATCCTATGATAACACAGTCAACATCTTTCAATTAACCAAAGTACTGATAACAAACATCAATCTTTATTTGAACTTCTTAAAAAATACAAACAAATTAAATTTTCTCTCAAGTCATTTAATAATAAATAATTGTCATCAAAAATCAAGTTTTTCTTCTGCAGTATTTGTAGTTAATCTAATCCCACAGAATCTGACTCCTTTGGTAACCCCTTTAATTATTTTATCATTTTTCCTTTTTTACACATCTTAGTGACCCTTTCTCAATTAGATTTGATGTTCTGTTGCATATAGAAATACAGAATAGAGATTTTAGTTCCAAATTTTAAAAAAAAATTAAGGGTTGAGACAAGAATTATCTGCTGATCAAATATGGAAAATTATTTTATATACATTCTTAAATATTCAAGATAGACATGCTCCTTATAGAAAAAAAAAGGGGGTGTCTGCAAGTAAAAACTAGGTTGGCTCACAAAGGGTATAAACAATAAAATTAGAGAAAAGCATTATAAGAAGTGTAAATTACAATGATGGAAAATTTGGAGGATTATTGAAGATCATGAGGTGATAAAACTAGAAATTAGAAAATCAAAAAAGTATATGAAAAAGGTTGGCTGAAGATGTAAAAATACATTTCTTAAAATACATTTATGGTAAGCTAAATGTTAGAAGGAAAGCAGGGGGTTGTTATAAATGGAGTTCAGTCAAACTGGATTAATGTCAGGAGTAGATTACCTCAGGGTTCAGTGTTAGGACACTTGCTCTTTTTAAATTTGTATCAATGGCATAATTGAAGGAATGGGCAATATATTACTTAAATTTACTGATGGCATTAAAATTAATATTTTCTTACACAGGAAATGTATTTCTGATGGATTCTTACCTCTTCTCACATCATAGCTTTTCTTCACTTGTGCTGCTCTCTATATGCATAAATATTTTCACACCATTAGCCTTGATACTCCCACCTACCTCACATGTTTTTTATGAGGAGCTGTGTGACAGCATGCAAATGAGCATGTGACAGCCCTCCACCAATAGGAGTGCAAAATAACTCCTAGCACAGCTGATTCTCTCTATGCAGCTTAGTTCAACTTCATTTCAAGACTGAGCAACATAAAAGGAAAAGACACTGGAAGTTAGGAGGAAGGGTGGGATTCTTCCCACCCTAACCTTGTGGAGGGACTGTTGTTATAGTACCTAGAGGAACTCTCTTCAGAAAGCACCCAAAGAAAGCCCATGATAGGATAGTACCATAATAGGAAAGGTCTTCTACCATTCACTTTGGACATGAGAACTGAAAGTAAGGAAGATCATCTGGTCCAAGGACCCACGTCATCATGAGTGCATGTCCAACACAACCAACACCAGTAACCCCCTGGAACTGACATTCAGACGATGGTAGGAAGGCAGACAGCAATGTGGTGCTTCAATTCCAGTCCAGAACCAGACAGCACTGGGAATGAGTCGTCCAGTCTGTAGAAGGAACAGGGTACCTGGACTACTCACATGGCTTGTCCAGCTCCAACCAACACCAGCACCTACTCACTCACAGAGAAACTATGGAGCTCAAGATGGTGACAGGAAATGACAATAACCTG